AGGGGACAAAATACCACAGCAGCAGCACTTGGGGGCTTACGCTACACTGACGGGAATAATTACGGATGTATTATTAAGGAGCAGGCAGAGAAGACACTAGATTTGGTTTGCCTTTTGGGGGGGAGAGGGTTACTGCAAAAAATGTGCGTATTTGTAAGGAATAATACACTGGTATTACGGTACAGTATGCTTACATACCCTTTGCATTCAGTTACATTGACGGCAGTGCAAATCCTTGAATGGAAAGTAATGAAAGTAATGAAAGTAATCCTTCTAGGGCATTCTCATGCTGACTAGTCGATATTTACCCTAAATAGTACCCTAATATATACTGTAGTTTATACTTTATCATAGACAATAGTATACCTTAGAGTAATACTATCTATAGTATACTCCCTGTCCGATCAGGCCATACCATACTGTACAATACCAGTGGAGTGAGAGATTTATTGGAGGCCTGTTGGAGCCCTGGAACTGGCACTGAACTGGACCTAAACTGACCTGAACTGGATCTCATCCGGCGCTGGATCTTCCCTCTTCCGAGTCCGCGACAATCAAGCAATTCGCCCGCCGAAATTACAGGACGATCAATGACGTCCGGGGACACGTAGCCGGTCTGCTTTTCTCTCTCTGACGTCGATTCTCACCATTAGCTATCCTGCTATCTGCACTCGCCTTTTTCTCGTTCTCTCACGGGAATGGGTAAGAATATACTCCCGCCACCCTCGAGGCTGTGCTCACTTCCCTTCTGATTCGGTGTGCCCCGCAGACCGAGAGCCGACGCGATGGTCTCTTGTGGCGCCTGAGGGGTATCCCATCTTGGTCCTGGTACCAGTCCTGGACTCCTGGTTTCTCCCGATGGTCCCTCCCCGTGGGACAGTGCGTGGCCCGCGGGCCCCGCTAACCGTGCCTCATTACTTTGTTCAGTAAAGGGAAAGAGTTGGGAGGACCATCCGAGGGATGCCCCTCGATGCCCCTCACTAATTGTTGGAAATCGCGGAACTCTCCGCTCCACACAGTAGTTACTATGTGCGGTAGTAATCTACTGAAGATTATCTTCACCAGAGTACGAGTAGCTAGAGTACTGTACTTTATACCTGGGTAGTAGCATATTAATTATCATATACTATCCAGTGTCTCCTGGATCGTACTGAGTTTTGGCTTGCCCTACCCTCGCCATCCGGTTGCCCTTCGTATCGCCTTAACTTCCCGGGATTGTCCACTCCCACTGTCCTCTCACTCCCCTCCCTACCCTCTCCTCCACAACTCCCTCTCACCACTGCCGGCCGATCGAACGGAGTCAACCATGCACATCACCCCATTGGGTGGTCGTGGAGTCCGGTCCGGCGTGGGGTCTCTGTGCGATGGGGTCATCCGAGCTAGCTACTCGAGATGACGTCCACTGGCATTTCTCTGGCGAACAGAGCAGCACACAGCACACGACTCAACGTCGGACAGAAGGGAGAATGACAATGACAATGCGAATCTCCAGACTCAGCTCAGCTCAGACCTCCAGCATCAAGCCTGAGCGAATAAATTATGGCCTATCAGTTCATCACGAGCGGCAGATGTCTACCCCCCTCCTCTTTGCGCTTTCTTTATGATTCGCGACAGCTCACCGTCTTTCTTTGTAAACTGTACGACTACGAGGCCAACTACTTAGAAGAGACTAGCTAGGACCGGACCGGACTACAGTAGGTAGGACTGGGACTACGGTGCGGAGGAGAGTTAGATGCTAGACACAGGCTAATGCACACACTACGGGTATACTCGGTGGGGCCATGCTAGGTCTCGTAGTGTATTACTATGAGTTGAGTATGAGTATTAGTATGAGCTCGCGATAAATCCCATCTCATCGGACAGAGTATTATTTCTTAACTTACAGGAGAGACGTAAAAAAAATCCCATTCGGCAAGTAGTATGTAGTCAATTACTTACTTACCCTACTTCGAGGACTGTGGGCTGGCAGGCTGAGTGCCAGTCCCATATCGCCCACATCCCGGATCCCGCTCTGCTCCGTCCCTATAGGAGATGAGATGCTTACTCTTAGGCAGACCATGCCAAAAGGGATCTACCCCGGATTGCGACTCAGATTGCGAATATCGGAATTCTAGCGAGAAGTTAAATCCGTCAAATCTTATTGCTTTTTGGGACGAGCACAGCCCCTAGTGTGCTGGTGCCGTGTGTGGCTAACATTGGCTTGATGTTTGACCTCGGTTTGATCGGGACGTGGGAGACATGTGTATGCGATAGTACTGTACAGTGCCTAGTACGGAGTAACTTGAACTACTCGTAATAATCATTGTACTTACAACGCTGTTGGGATGGAGAGAAGGAATATTATACTGTAGTATATTGGAGATAGGTTATATAGTACCATACCATGAATAACTGACGGTAAAATTGCAAAGAAACTTGAAGCAAGAGCAAGAACAACCTCTTAGAAAATCGAAATCGAAATCGAAATACTATAATACAGTAGGTACGTACAAACTCATAGTGTGGCTTCAACTTACCACCAAAACCAAAACCAAAACCAACTGCAAAAAAACCCTACTCATACACCTAAAGGTTATCTTTGTTCCAACGCTAAGGTTAATCGGAATCAAATATCCCACCGACTACAGCTCCCCGCCGGCTACTCGTACACTCGTACAATGTACACTGTACTGTATGGGGCTACCTCACTACGAGGCATTTTCATCGAACCAATCACAACACTTCTAGACACCCCCGACTCCGCAAATATTAAGCGGGAGTGCCACATGTCGATGTTGGATTCATGCGGGCAAACCATTACCCACCCTCACCTCCATCACCATCGCCATCACAATCTCATACTGTGCATCTACATGCCAACACTAATGCCGATCCCAATGGCCTCCAAAACTTCCTTCTTGGCAACGGAGTACTTTAGCCCGGAGCTTGAGCTGTGCAGCGCAGCGTACAGCTTGGATGCATAATCATATGCAACTACCCCTCCCCTAAACTTCAAGCTCTCCCCTCTTCTCCTCTTCCCTCTCCTTCCTGCCCCACAAGCGCGGGTGACACGCGCAGGCGGCAGATCAGTAAAAGCTTCCTTGGCTGAAGAGTTGTGCTGACCGCCAGTTTGGACTTGCTGTTTGGTTGCATCGGATTAGAGTCTCCACGGGAATACTTGTAGGAATGGGACTGGGACTGGGATGTGAGAGGGCGTGGCATGGTGTGGTATGGTGTGGCGTGGGATGCACGAGACGAGGGCTCAAGTAAGGCTGGTCCGAGCTGAAGCTAAACTGCATGTACTGGTACGGGGTAACTAGTACTGTCTGTCTGGCGTGAGTGTGTGGTGGATTTGATCTTCTGATTACTGTAGATCTACTGTACGGAGTATTGTTCCTACTTGTTGTGGTTGGTAGGAGACTAGATAGTAGACACTCTCTTTCTCTCTTGGTACAGTACGTTGACATATACTCAACTCAAGAATCTACTTTGTATACGAGTATGAAGTACGACCTCGAAGTGAGCAGACCTCCAACAGCCCTTTGTTCATGTACCTAAATCCGTAAATCCTCTTGGCTCTAGTAGAGGTACAGTACAACCTCAACTCAAGGTCACACAGATGGAGCCACCAGCTCGAGATAAGCAGTGGCACTGGCACTGCCAAGAGCTGAGCTCGGCGTGCAGAAGCTCGGACCAGAATGTGCCTGGCGCTCATCAATCACAGCTCTTGCTTCGACCGTGGATTGAATCCACGGTGGAGAGCTTGGGTGGCGGACTCGGATCCGATCAGTTTACCTTGAAGTCGCCTTCGTGTCTCTTGTTTTTTTCTTTCAAGTTTCTTTAGTTTCAGCCAACACGTCAGATATGCAGATATTTTTTTTTGCTTTTGCTGAGGATCTGCTGTCAATATCTGTTATGTTATACAATCATTTTGTTGACGATTGTGGGTGTGCGGGATTTGTTAGGGCCATAGGATGGATAATCTACTGCACGGAGAACCGATGGCGAGGTAACTTGAAATGTTTTGTTTTGGAGACTGTATTGTATGTATGAGTATGTTAGGGCTTTACAGAAATTCGAGTCTTGTACAAGGCTGCGTTTTTGCATTGTATTGCATAGTATTTAATTCGAGGCTGCGAGGCTGAGGTTGAGGCTGAGGCTGATGCTGATGCCCACCCTATGCTTAGGGCTGAGAGGCGGGTGAAGATTTGAAATGACTCCCGCTAGGCAGGGGCTTCCATTTCGTATTAGAAATAGAGCTTGCAGTTAGAGGAGCCCTTGCTTGATGGTAGTCCGCACTCTATTCCGAGTCATACCATGTACTTAACTCGACTTACTAAATTGACATATGCCTAATGGGGTAGGTGAACAGCCCCAACTGCTGACCGTCTCAGATTAAGCTTCAGGATGACTGAAGCAAAAGAACATAGCCCGTACTATTATTAATATCTACCATAACCTGGAGTGTGATTTTGATTACATCTCGAGCACCCGCGAACTTCTTATACAGTACCAACCTGAAGATTGGTGTTGCAGACCTCATGTGCCGCCAAAAAAGCAAACATCTTCCCGAGTTCAGCCCTGCTGCATGAACCCGCCTTATCTGAAGATTCAAGTTCGGCCTTGCAGGTGTGATTGGTCATTCTGCAGGTTGTGCGTATAACGTGTGATCGGTATGGATTGGCTGACGCAGGTTCATTACGAGGTAAGGGAGACGAGTCGAGTCAGGGTAAGTGTAAGTGTAACCTTGGAACTACTGTAGTCAATTGAGCATGTACATAATGTAGACTCGGTTATACGCCAGTGGTACCCGGATTTGCAATTCGAACTGTACTAGCTAGTACCAGATATAAGTTACCCAGCATCTGCTCTTTCGACAATGTGGGATATCATAACTACCCACGGGCATGGGCACGGGCACGGCCGCGAGCACGGGGTAGATGAATAGATCGACGTGACCTCGGGATAAACACTGCATGCCGCTGGCTACCCGACGGGCCGCTGATAAGTAAACCCACACAATGCCAGCCAGTACGCTGGGATATCTCCACAGTATCAAGTATAGCCAGCCACCCAAGAACCGCGTCAATTCGTTCGCCATCCTCCTGATCCGACTTCGCCCGCTCAAAAACGCATTGCCAAGACCGGTCCTTGTCTGGAGGTCCGCAGTGATATTCATGCGAAATCTGCAGACTGCCGAATTGGTTCGCGCCGGCTTATCAAACCGCCCCAGCTCAAGCCAACATTCACGCCACGTGGGACGCCGGTACCGGTGAGTGGCGGCCGGTTGAAAAGGCGGTATCGAGGGTCCTGGGGCCGGAGGCGCCGAAATACATGTACCCCGGCGCCACTGGTCGGGGGGTTGGGGCTGGGGTTGCGGTGTACTAGTCGGTTCGATCTGGGCTAGCTATGGTGGGTCTGGTGTAGGAAGGGCCTGGGCATTTGTAATGCTGAGTGATGGATATGGTTTTTGCTCGGTTGCTTTGTTACATCGTTGTATCACGCAAGAACGCGAGTCTGCTGCCACATCAGAAAACAAGTCAACAAAAAGGGGCGAGCCAGCACTAGAAGAAAACACATACCACGAACTGTTCCAATGACTCTTCGAAGAGCTCATTGTTGACGCCGACGCCGCCCGGGTGTTCGATCGGTGAGAGGGGATTTTTCACAACTAGACAAGTGATGATGTTAGAGATGAAGCAGAGCAAAGGCAAAGGCAAGCTATAATATGCGACCGTGGACATACCGTATTCCACGAATAAGTTGATATAGATCTGTTGCAGGGCGATGCGCATGCTGGGACTCTTCAAGTCGGTCAACATGACGAATTTGATATTTGTCGGCGTCTCGTAGTAGTGAAGCTTATACTGGCTAGTGGAGTAGGACACGAAGCTAGAACCGGTCAGTTTATTGTCAAGGTATGTTTGGCCTGCTGACCACCGAGTTGAGTCGTACTTGTCCTCTTCACCCCCCAATTTGCGCACCATATTCCTCAAGGAGAAGACTGTGCCAAATACTAATTTCGCATCATCGTCACTCGCATTGACGGTCTGTCCTAGTCCTGATGGACCCGCTTGGGCGTCCGTGGCGCGTGAGGATTTCCCCACGATGGAGGTTGGGCGAGGAAGCCAGCGACGCTTGTAGATGCACTCCGCTAGATTGGGTCAGTGGAGACGGTGGAATAGTAGATTACAGGGTCGACATACCATGGCGGTCAAAGATGTAAAAAGAATAAACAGGCATTGTGGTAGTGGGGTGGTGTGGTAGTGAGAGAGGAGGCTCGCCTGGGGAAACGACCAGGGAAGCCCGATGTTGTTGATTCAGGAGCTGAAGGCGGTGAGAGCGATAACGATAAACGCTCACCCCAAAAAGGCAGGGACCTTAAATCCAGAATAACGCTGCCTAAAGACGTGAATTGTGAAACTAACTGCAACTGACAGCGCGCAGATTGGATCGTCCGTGCAAGGGGAAAAAAGAAGCTATTTCTTTTTTCTCGTAAGGCTGACAGCCCCAGCTGCGCTGTGTGGTGATCTCCCCCACTCCTTCTTCTTTCCCCCTCCCCTCTCTACCCCACACCATTCAGCATTCCCAAAGGGACTCTCCCATCCAATGGAAGACTCACTCGAGAATCGCTCCGATGTTTCAAAGAACACCTCGATCGACTCTTTAGAGAGTACAGGCCTTCCGCGGCCCGCTGTCGCGTAAGACTATCTCTTTTATTTGGCATATGCCATTGATATGGACATGGCTGACGCATACTATCCCAACCCTTCAGCTCATTTGGCTCCTTCGATAATCCTCAGCGACATCGACAACGGAATCCCCGAGCAAGGCGTCCGGTGAAGGTAGCATTCCTCTGCCGTTCGTCATGAATCCCGACTGACCATACGGCTAGGAAACACTGGACGCCCGCTCCGAATATACCACCAGTCAGGACGATGGTACCGCCGAGCATCGTATCAATCAGTATATAATCAGACAAGAGATTGGTCGGGGGTCCTTCGGAGCTGTTCACCTCGCCGCGGACCAATTTGGCAATGAATATGTGCGAGTTCACTTCCCACGGAAATGGACATGACCTGAATGGGGTAAAATCTAACAATTATCACTAGGCCGTGAAAGAATTTTCAAAGTCTCGACTGCGGAAACGAGCACAATCGCATCTTCTGCGACGGCCTCGAGGACCTCGTCGCCCGGGCACTGGATTTAACTCGCCGCTCCATCGTCATCCGTCCGAGGACGATAATGAGAATGCAAAGAACCCGCTCTACCTGATCAAGGAAGAGATTGCCATCATGAAGAAATTGAATCATAATAACTTGGTCTCGCTGATCGAGGTGCTGGATGATCCGACCGAGGACTCGCTATACATGGTCATGGAAATGTGTAAGAAGGGCGTCGTCATGAAAGTGGGGTTGGAAGAGCGAGCTGACCCGTACGATGACGAGCATTGCCGCTGTTGGTTCCGCGATCTAATGCTGGGTATTGAATATCTTCATGCGCAGGGTATCGTGCATCGAGATATCAAACCCGATAACTGCTTGGTGACTAGCGATGATGTACTCAAGGTGGTCGATTTCGGCGTGTCGGAAATGTTTGCCAAGGAGTCGGATATGTTCACGGCTAAGTCTGCTGGATCACCTGCCTTTCTCCCGCCAGAGCTGTGTGTAGTGAAACACGGCGATGTCTCGGGCAAGGCAGCGGATATCTGGTCCATGGGAGTCACTTTGTACTGTCTTCGGTATGGACGCCTGCCATTTGAACAGCAGAGTATCTTCGAGCTGTATGAGAGTATTCGCAGTGACGAGGTGGTATGTGAGGATGAACAAGATGAGCAGTTCAAGGATTTGATGGCTCGACTCTTACAGAAAGATCCCGCAAAACGCATCAGAATGAGGGATTTACGGGTGAGTAGCCCCAGAATTGGAATAATTGCAAATGCTCACGACTTGTTGAGTACAGACACATCCCTGGGTCACCTTGAATGGGACCAATCCTCTTCTCTCGAAGGAGGAAAACACTGCTCAGATGATCGAGCCCCCAACCGAAGAGGAGATGAACATGGCTATTACAGGAAACTTTGGCCGCCTTATGACAGTGGTGAGTACAAGCGAAGGGAATTTTCCAAGCAGACGCTAATTCCAGGCAGATGAAAGCAGTCAAGAATTTCAAGCGGCTTGTCGACCCAGCCAAGGGAGCAGCAGGGCCAGCCATGCAAAGTATTCTAGGTGGCGATGCTCAATTCGTTGCCCCGCCCATGGAAATGGACGAGAGTGAAGACTTCCCAGAAGTTGGACTTGGCCAAGGGCACGGTCACGGCAGTCATGGCTTGAACGCAGGCGTCCGAAGATTCTTGGGCAGATCTCCCATGTCTGCTTTGCGCCGAGATCACTTCGGCCCCAGACCCGGGGCCAGCGACTCAGCTAGCATGTCTTCCCGACCAGAGCACAGTCCTGCGAGTAGTCGCCTGCCCAGCGGGGTCTTCGAACCGGAGCGGAGAGATTCTGGCTCTATACGCAGCGGTCGATCAGGGAGAGCGGATGAACGATCTGAATCTCCAAAACTTCCACTCTCTAGAGCCAGCTCAGCAACCACAAAGCGCAGCATCGAGGGGACAAGAGGACACGCCCGAGACCCATTGGAAGAAAACTGGTCATATTTATCCATTGGGCCGTCAACATACACCGGCACATCGCAAGAAGAACAGTTCCCCGTCAGCGATCCAGTCCCGATATTTGCAGAACCCGACAGCACAGAAGACATGGACCTACCAACTGTCGACGACCCTGTAATCGTCAGCGAATCCCCCGGCGCAGCAGACTTCGACATCTACGAAACGGCATATGGCAAAGAACTAGAGCGCATCCGATCAGAAACCACCCAAACCAGCGCTGGCGCTGGCGCCGGTAACGGAACTGACACTGGTACCGATGAAGGTGCAATTCCCGGCCCAAAGGTCTACCTAACACGCCGCGTGGAAGGTAAAGACGAAGTGATGAAGTTCGTGAAAGACAAAACCCTAAATCTACAAGTCGGGCAGAAATTCAGCTCGCCCAGTCGCGGGCCGTCGACGGCATTCGGCGCTGCGGTGAGTATGCTTCGCAATCAGATTCAGCAGCAGAAAGAACAAGCTGGGCGTGAAGAGCAGAGGCAGACTTCGGAGCACAATCAGGTCCAGGCCCAGCAGGAAAGAAGAGGATCGCATCCGTATTCGTCTGCTTCTATACCCGAGCCTGAACCCTCGGCCCTCGAGGCAATGGGTACTCACACAGATGCACCGGCGGGTGACTCCTCGGTTAAGTTGAGGCGGCTTCTTAATAGGGCGCGGGATAAATCTGGAGAGTGATTTAGTTGGGCTGAGATTCCAGAATTGTTTTACATACATACCCTGGATGCGATGAAGAGGCGAGGGAGGAGGGGGAGGGGGAGGGGAGGGGATGGTAGTTACTACTATGCATACCCGTTCGTGCATTGCAGTGCAGTGCAGCGCATCGCATCGCCAAACGTCGTGTCCTACTTTCCATTTCCATTTCCATTTCCTTTTCAAGTTCATATACCTTGCCTTCGAGTCGCCTTACATTTATCTTTTCATTTCATTGTCCATATCAAATTTTATTTACCGCTTCTGATACCGAAAGTTTTCTCAAAGAGTACTTATTTGGGCAGACTACCTTAGGTCCGATCCGAGTCATGGTGTCCTCAGGGCTTAGTCTAGCCTAGGTTATAGTCTAACTGGCAAATCTAAAGGCGAACCATCCTATTGGATACTAAACAATATCCGTTCTCAAGCCAGGTCCCCGCCGAACCAAAGATTCAAATGCCAAGCTTTTCTCCGCTTTGGATTAAGCTTTACCGTATATAAGTGCTGGCAAGGGTTCATTCAAGTTTGAATAGTGCGGGTTATCTCTAGAAGAATAGATTAGTGGCTTTGTGATTTACGGGTATTGGTAGTAGTATACGGTAGCAGTAGGTGTCACTCCTAGTAAGCTGTATACTTCATTCTCACTGTGGTTCTTGCAATGGCCGAAGGGCCAGTGGGCATCTACTACTACTAGTAGTATTCAATCCGGGTAAGCCATACAAATAGTACATGTACATACCAGTAGTGAAGATCCTGGGCATACCTTGCTTAAAGCCAGGTTCAATTCAAGTTTGTATCATCAAATCAGACGTGTTTCTGTGGCTCAATTTGAGTCGGTAATGTATTAGGAGTTTCGTATCGCTAGGTATCAAGTGTCGGGAGTGAGAGAAGATGATACTAGTATTGAAGAACTCT